ATTTATGATCAGTACGTACAAATTTCGTTCGTATCACATTTTGTATAGGTGATGGTAATGCGGTGAAGCAGAGGAAACGATAAAACAGGAATTGAATAAATTAGATTGTATTAGGATATGTGGTGTGATATGATTTATAATATTGAGTCAGAGCGGTTTGTGTGACAAAAGTCTTTGCTTTATGCACAGACGGGCATTGAAAATTGCAATTACTTATCAAGGAACTTCATTATGGCATCAGAAAATTTTGATTATCCAAACTTATTGAAATTTTTTCAGCTATGGCAGTTTAGCAGTTTTAAAGTGGCATCAGTTTTTGAGATATCAGGATATCATTAGGAAGTGACATTGAGTTGGAATAGGATTGGGTTTAAGAGATTCAGTGAGAGCTTTGCAAGCTATTGGATAAGTTATCGACCTGAATGAAGGTGATATTCGTTTTGGGGTTGCTTGGAAAAAATATTTTTGAAGTAATTTTGTTGATTTTAGGTCATTATGACGCAAAAGGTTTCCCATCGTCCGGTATTTTACCGTTTGCACAAGGTTTTTTGTGCTCATTTATGAATCGATGTTACGCAACACCAACAACTGGCAACGATACGAACTTCATCAATACAAATTCAACGGAACAATCGCTGTTAGTTTCAGTTTTTTGTTCATTTCTTTAGAGTTTACTGTTTATTTAGTTCCTTTTGACATCGAAACCCAACGCTTTCGGTCCGATTAGCGGAGGAAAGTTTTGCTTGNAGTTTACTGTTTATTTAGTTCCTTTTGACATCGAAACCCAACGCTTTCGGTCCGATTAGCGGAGGAAAGTTTTGCTTGAAACCGAGTGGTGTAGCAATATCGAGCATGAGCCAGGCTATGATTTGGATTGTATCTAATTATCTGATATATTATTCGTTTGGTTTGTTTTGTTCATATTTTGTTGAATCTTATTTCGTTCGTTTCTTTGATTGTTTTTGTACTGATTCTTTTATTTATTAATTTGTTATTTGGTCATTTGTTCAATTTTATATTGTTTCGTGATAGTTATCCTAGTGATAGATGAGGATAGAATGAAGTAGTGTCGATTATAGACTGACGACAAGCGGACGAGAATGGGCGCAGTTGATGGCTGAGTTCGGATCGAACACAACACTGTGGTCATCGAGACTTGATCAGCTGATTGATCTGATTGAAGCGATCGGAAGGGGTTCACCGCAAGCAAGTGTGCGCAACTTCTTGAACGAGTCGATTCCAATAGCGAAATTTTTCGACTCGAACGAAAGTGCCGTTGAATTCATTAAAGTTTTAACGGATGCTGACACGGATTTTGCCCAAAATCTCCTGAACGCATCCATAACGCCATTATTTGCACTAAAAGCATACCAAGAGGTTGTTGGTTTTTGCAACTTTAAAGGTTTTCAAACATCCGTTTTGTCAATTTTCTGCTTTTTTCCCAAATATTCCTATTCTCAAAACCTTTCAAACATCCGTTTTGTTATTTTGCAAATAAACCAAATTTTCGCAGATATTCTCACTTAGTTGATTGAGAAAAGTGTTTTGTTTCATCATGGCGTATAGAAAGGATTTTTGATATGATAAATGGCAAATTATTGGTAGAATTTGGAAAATTTATTTTCGTTAGGAATTAGCGTTTTCGAATCGTAATGGCCAATATGCTGTTAGGTAAGTTTTCGGTAGTAGTCTGGTTAGATTG